TGGCCTAGTGTCTTAGCAGAGTAAACTCTCTACTTTACAGGAGACAGAGCCTTCTCTCTGAATGCTGGCTCATGATACAACTTGTGATGGGGATATCTAAATTGTGCACATGAGAGAGAAGAAAACAGAGAGTCACTTGTTCTTTTTTTCCTCTGCCTGTTGGCTGGTGGCTTGGAGGCTGGCTGAGAATATGTCCCCCCTAGCTATAGGGAAGACATTAATATCACTTAGTGGCTCAACAGTGTGTGGGGAGAGGGGATACTAGCTTCTCTCTCCCCCTCCCACTGATGGCAATGGGGTAGGGTGGGATGTTCTCACTAGTTCATCTAGAGGTCTATGTTATCACAACATGATGGGGAGCTGGGAGACACCTGTGATAACCTAGTTTCTGGGTAGCTGACTAAAGGATTCCTCTATGGTCAAAGGTGGTAATGGCACTAGCAGCCCCACTCTGAGCCATGGCACTGGCAAAAGCAAGCATTCATTCTTACAACATACACCTCTACCCCGATATAATGCTGTCCTTTGGAGCCAAAAAATCTTACTGCGTTATAGGTGAAAACGCATTATATCGAACTTGCTTTGATCCACCGGAGTGCTGCTTTACCGTGTTATATCCAAATTCATGTTATATCGGGTTGCATTATATTGGGGTAGAGGTGTATATGTTCAGTAATATCCAAAATCCTCTCATGACTGTGGCTCCATTGTGCTAGATGCCATACAAACACAGCAAGACATGGTCCCTATTTATTATCTCTATTTCAGTAGCACCCAGAGGACCCAACCAAGACCGGGACTGCATTTACTAGACACTGTACAAACATGTAGTGGGAGACAGTTGTGCCCCGGTGATCTTGCAATCTAAATAGAAAAGCATCTGAGAAGAATCAAGTGAAGCTACTTGTCCAAACTCACACAGCAGGTTGGGCCAGGTCTTTGGGGTCTAGGGCTGCTAACAGTCCTATATTATAAGGGGGACATCCCTTATTTAAATAAGATACTGTTTGTCCTGTACTAAATCAGCACAGGACACCTTTTATCACATATTTCAACAAGGATTCAATGCTACTCAAGTTGCTGCTGGTTGGCAACTTGACCTGATGCACAGGGTTACAAAGCCACTCAAATTTTGGCTCGGCCACCCCTCCATCATGCCTAAGTAGCCCCTGGACCTCTGGGTTTCTCCCATATTTTTGAATTACAGTTTTCAGAGTAGCAGCCGTGTTAGTCTGTATCCGCAAAAAGAAGAACAGGAGTACTTGTGGCACCTTAGAGACTAACAAATTT